ATTAAATAGGTCATTGTTAAATGAATTTAACGCTGCAGATAGTTCATTAATAGTTGTGGATAGTCCTTTAATGGGTAGCACCTTATTAGCCGATGATAATAATGTAATAGCTGAATGTCATTCATTAGCTGATGATAGCAACGATGTCTCTGAAAGGTTTTAAAAATGTGCAATTTTGTGTTGCTTTGTTTTAATCAATGATCGTTTAATTAATTTTATTAGTAATGTTATTCAACAACTTCTGCAAGAGTTAGAAAAAAACAAAAGCAACGCTTTCAAAAGTTCAAAAAGAAAATGATAATATGCTGAAGAAAGCACAAGAAAAAAAAACCCCAGTTAAGACTAACGATAATATAATAGACCATGAGAATGATGTTCAAAATAAATTATCTAAATTTTTCACTAAAACACAAATTCAATATTTTTTACAACCTCAGAAGCGGATACAAAAATGGGAAAATGAGGATATCATTGATGCTATAACATTACGGAGCATATCACCTAAGGCGTATAACTACCTAAGATTAACATTAGGATTTCCTTATCCTGGTTAGTGCAATTTTAAACTAAAAAAAGTATTTGTTTTAACCACGGTTTGACAAATTTAAATTTTTAATTTCAATTTGACCAAAAATTATAAATTTTACCTATTATAGGATTATCTACTTTGAGAACGTGGGCACTGAATTTTCCTATAGAACCTAGGGTTTTGAATGGCGTACTAAGGATAATGAAAGCCAAAGGTAAATAAAATACTTTAAATATTACCCTTCTAATTAAGTGATACAATCAAAATTAATTATTTTTAATTGTTATTATATTAAAATTTAAGGCGATTCTATGAGTGACCAGGAAAAGTTGGTTATTTTGTCGTTTGATGAGGTGTACTTAGCTCATGATATATGTTTTGATAAGGCTGTTCAGCAAGTTTTGGGCCCTCATAAGACGGTTCAAGTAGTTATGGCACGAGGACTCTGCAAATCATGGAAGCAACCCATATTTTATTCTTACGATACTCCTATGACAAAAGAAATACTGAACGAGTTAATATCAAAGTTATTACTAATTTCTGGTTTTTTAGTAGTAGCTGTTGTGAGTGATATGGGTACCACAAATATGGGTATGTGGAAATCAATGGGCATTTCATACACTAATAGTGCATTTAAACATCCAAGTGTGGACAGAAATATTCATGTGCTGGCCGATGTGCCCCATTTGATCAAGTTGATAAGAAATAATTATCTTGATCATGGTTTTGTCCTGAAAACAGACAATGGTTTGATTTATAAATATGCTTTAGTCGAATATTCACTTATAGTATTATTTCTTGTATGGTATAGGTGATAAATTCATAGGAAAAAATATTTTTCAAAATTTGCTGATGGTACAAAGTAAATCTGAGCTAAGGTTCACTTACAAAGTAACTGATCATCATTTAAATGTACACGGTGCTCAGCGGCAAAAGGTAAAAACTGCAGTTCAACTGTTTTCAAGGACAGTTTCTAAGGCAATCCAATATTATGCAGACAAAAATTTGGCAAAACCTTTAAATTGGAAAGAAGTATATTTATTATTACTAACACAAATATCTAATACAAATTTAATTTTGAATTTCTTTCGGTTTAGTGTTCTGAAATAGTTGAACTTATTAATGATTGGTTCGACTTACTAAATTCGCAACATATGGTAGGTGATAATTCTAAGGCATATGGTCTAGATCTTGAACGTCAAAATGAACTGTTGGCACGTATGGATAAATTCATACTCTCAATGAGAGTTCATGGGAAACAGGCTTTTATGCAATTCCAGAAAGGCATTCTCATGACCAACTGTTCTTTGAGAAATCTGTATGAAGATTTAAAATTACATTACAATATACAATATATCATAACACGTCGTTTGAACCAAGACGTACTAGAAAACTTTTTTAGCTTCATAAGAGCAATGGGTGGATGTAACGATCACCCTACTCCTATTGATTTCAAATACCGGTAAACTCATTTATAATAAAGCAATATTACATTTTAACTGATTTATTTTCAGCTTAAGGTGGTATATATTAGGTAAACACAGCTCAATGGTGTTTACATCTAATCAAAACACAGAAGACAGTCAAAATGAAGATTGTATATTGAATGCTGGTGATATAGGTTGTAATAATACTGCCCTGTTTACAGCACAGGTGTTTGAGAGTTCAGGAATTTTGACAAGTGATTCAAACACTTCTGATGAATTTGAGATGAATGAAGCCCAGCTCAGTTTACTTAATTCGTTTGAACTAGAAGTAAAATAAACTATATTAGTAATAAGTTAAAAATTATAACATAAATATTTTTTCCAAGTCTTTGGTTGATGAACTCTATTTTCCAAATGATGTGTGTGAAAAAGAAAATTTGAAATATATTGCTGGATCAGTAGCCAACAAATATAAAATAAAATATCCCTACTTGGAAGATAAGATTTCAAATTCAGAAAAAGACTGGATTTCTCATATATCAAAAGGTTATTATATTTTACCTTAGTCTTTCTAAATTTATAATATCCAATAATAACAATCAATTCGCATGTTTTTAGGATATCTTGTTCGTCCATCAAAAACATTATTGAGTGTCAGCCAAGTATTAGAAAGTATTTTTCACGAAAACTTTGACAAAAAAAAATGTATTGTTCAAAGACTGGCTGATAAGATGCTCACAATAATTCCAAAAAATTGTATTCCAATGGAAGTATTATTATGTCTTGTTCGCACCCGACTATACATACACTTAAGGGAACTAAATAGTAGTGAACGAAAAACAAATATAATAAAATATACGCATAAACTAAAAAAATTTGTAAAATAATAAATAAAACACAAATAATTAATGAGTTAATGTTTTTTTCTGGGGTCAAAATTGTTGATAATACTGATAAGAAATGTTATTTCATTGATTATTCCAATCATAACTATCGTTTATTCCAAGTCTGGGGCACATGCGTAGTGATAGGGAAAACACGTAATCTTGCTGACATGCCTGTTTATTTAGCCATGGCAATAACGATAATAATAATTTGATTACCGGTCGGCACATGCGCCGCGGTAGGGCGGTGTATCGGCGGCGGCGACTGGAACAGCTGCTGCGGCGATGCGATGACACGGAGGTGAACGGGGAGCGGCGGCTGTCGGCGGCGGCTTCGGATGACGGCGAATGACCGGATTACGTAATGCGCGAATTACGTAATCACGGCACTGAAGCGGCGTCGCACGAGGGATATCCACACACGATAATAATAATGCCGGCGAACGATATACCCGGTACGAACTGGAGCCCGTCGGAATCAGACGACCAAGATGTATCGACACGAATTGACAAACAATACGGGCGCGAATATCAGCGGCAAACACGCGTCGGCGAGTATCGGTCGCGCAACGGGCAACCGTCGACGTTAATAGTCCGGTCAAAATAGACAAAAAAACATGCAAACTTCGGAATAATTCGCATAGAGCTGAAAATTGGTACACACCTTAAGTACCTCATCCTAAATAAAATCTCAAAAGTCCCCATCGATCCTATTGCTGCTAATTTTTTTATTCAAGGTCAAAGGTCACAAAAATTGGTTTTTTTCATTTATCTCTTAAAATGTAAGTGTTTTCGTAAAAATAGCTTGGACAAAATTTGTAGATCAAGTAATTGTCTAAAAAAATTGTTCTTAAACTTTTTTACCTAAAAGTAATAATTCATGAGTTATCTTTCAGTCTACACTTAGTCGGGGGGGTCGCGGCGCGCGAGGTGACTCTTGTCCGCGATCAGAAATCCGTTACTCAAAAATTCAGCACACAATAAAATACGCACCCAATATATTATGATTTCAAAAACTATGAATACTCGTACTTAATATATAAATATATATATATATATATATATACAGGGTGTAACAGATAGAACTGACTTTTGGAATAACTTTTGTTATGATCATTATTTTTAATTTTTTTTTTTATATATAATTTATAGCCACTTGTTCTACACGTGTAAGAGGAAAAAAATTATTTTTATTTTTTTATACTAAAAATAAAAAATTTTAAATTTGACTTAAATTTTTTTGAATAAATTCAAAATAGCAAACTTGTGAATCTGATTTTAAGAACGATTTGGATGGTAAAAACATTTATCTAAGTCTAGTAGTTTATTTTTTAGAATTTTTTTAAATATCAATATTTTTTTGATAAAATAAATTTGGAACGCAATAGCTTTTTTAAAAATATTATTTTTGGAAATTTTATAACATGGGTATATTCTTAAAACTATTTACTAATCATATAATTTCAACAATTTTTGTCATACATTTAAGTAGCATCAATTTTTTTTTTTTTTGGTCAGTTCTTTCTGTTACACACGGTATATAATAATAGTAATCGTTTGTGTCATACAAATAATATGATTCTCAATATAACAGCAAAATAAACATTTAAATGAAACTGAAATAGTTATTGTTGAACGTGGAATTCAAACTTTGATTGATTCAAGTGTTGAAAGAAATGACGGACATTTTGAATATTTAAAAGACAAGCAATCTGTGGCAATCAATGTGCGGTGTCGTAAAATGTACACTCGTAAAAGCAGTATTGCTACAGCTAAAAGGCAAAGAGAGACAGAAGCTAATACATCTACGAACAGTCCACCTCACATTAGAATGCGATCTGGTGAGTCAATTTTTTGTTTTAAAACAAGTTGTTTATTTTGTGGTGATAAAGCTAGTGTAGAGGCTGAAAAAAAAATCACAAAAAAATCGGCGACTAATATATCGTGTTGCTACACTGTCGTTTAAAGATAAAATTATGAAAGTAGCCGAGAATCGTTCAGATGGCGTAGTAAAATCTGTTCTAGGACGTACCTATACAGTATGAATATGATTTAATTGCTGCTGAGGCTAGATACCATAATGATTGTTATAATTCTTTTTTGAGGCCTTCTAGCAGTGATAAAATAGGTCGTCCCGAAGACAATAATATTACTTTGGTGATGGAAGAAATATTTTTATACATTGAAAATAATGAGGATTGTCAGTTTTCACTACAAGAGTTAAAAGGTATTTGCAAAAATAAAGTTCCAGATGATAAAACAATTAAAAAAAGATTAAAGTTAAAATATGGTAGTAGGATTATTATAACTGAGAAACAAGGTAGCTTAACAATTATTTGTTTTATTGACACTCAGCACGACGTGTTGAATAAATTTTGGCAAGACAGTAAACAACAAAATTTAAATGAAGAACGATTTAGGATATTAAATACTGCTGCAGAAATTCTTCGAGAAGATAATATTCAATCTGTCGTATGCAACACTAAAAATTATCCTCCACCTAGTCAAATGTTTGAAAATATTAATAGTGAAATTCCGGAATCGTTGACTTATTTTTTAGAGGTATTAATTTTAAAAAATAAGCGACATAAATTGGAACATTTGAAATTAATATGTACAACTGTATGTCACTGTATTATGGCTGCCATTCATCCTAGATCATTCATCTCAAGACTGCAATTAGGTCTTTCAGTGTTTTCTCATCGATGATTTGGGTCAAAACGTCTTATACAAATTTTTTCGTCTTTTGGTTTGTGTGCATCGTATAACGATACTATGATGTACGAGTCTGCAGCAGTTTTATAATATGGATAATATTATGAAGATAAATTAAAATTGATAAATTTTTGAAATCACGATAACTGATGAATTATTACTTATAGGTAAAAAAGTGCTGGAAGCGTATTTTATTGTGTGCTGAATTTCTGAGTAACTGATCGCGGACAAGAGTCACCTCGCGCGCCGCGACCCCCCCGACTAAGCGTAGACCGAAAGATAACTCATGAATTATTACTTTTAGGTAAAAAAGTGTAAAGATAATTTTTTTAGACAATTACTTGATCTACAAATTTTGTCTAAGCTATTTTTACGAAAACACTTAAATTTTAAGAGATAAATGAAAAAAAAACAATTTTGTGACCTTTGACCTTGAATAAAAAAATTAGCAGCAATAGGATCGATGGGGACTTTTGAGATTTTATTTAGGATGAGGTACTTAAGGTGTGTACCAATTTTCAGCTCTATGCGAATTATTCCGAAGTTAAATGTCTATTTTGACCGGACTATAATCGGTACGACGTCGAGAACGACGACAACGGCGTCGAAAACACAATTACGTCGGATGGCGCGACAGCGAAATAATACGTAGAGCGAAATAATATAATATGTACAATGTGAACAACAATACGGGCGCGAATCTCAGCGGCAAACACGCGTCGGCGAGTATCGGTCGCGCAACGGGCAACCGTCGACGTTAAACGGTACGACGTCGAGAACGACGACAACGGCGTCGAAAACACAATTACGTCGGATGGCGCGACAACGAAACAACACGAAGAGCGAAATAATATAATATGTACAATGCGAACATGCGCGGGTAACTCGCACCAAACGAAGTTGTCGCAAAACGGCACCGAACAACGGCCGGACGCGACACACGCACGGTCCACTCAAATCGAGCGTACGAAAAAGACAAGCTTTTAGTCGCCGAAGGCGACTTGGCCGGAGCCCGGTGTCTGCGGGCCGCGCGACGCGCTGTCTCGCGGACCGGTTGCCGAATGTCGCACTGGAAGCGGCGGGAAGTTCAAACATACTCCCCCATGGGAGGCGCAGCTTCACATCATTCTTTGAACATATTATACATATTAAAGGGCCGGAATGCAAAAAAAATATAAATGTAAATAAAAAATAGACAAATTAAGTATATCATAAAATAACAATTATCTCAAAATGTGAGAATGGACACAATAAATATAATAACAGGTAACACTAAATACGTGGACAAGTGACAATAGGGTCACGAATAAATAATACAATAATAAATAACGAAAACCAACAGGTATGGCAAATAATAATTCGACATGATAACATAATAATTCAACGGAATGAAATAAGTAATAATTGAACAAAATACAAAACAATAGGCCGTATGGCAATTAAACATAATTAAATAAGGGGACCTGTACCATTACCAGGTAATAAAACGAGCTTGGCAGCAGGACGAGTGACTATACCGCGCGAGGTCAGAACGCGCACAACTCTTACCACACCATCCGCACCTGGCAGCACCTCGAGCACCCGCCCAAGTCGCCACTCCAAAGGGGGGGCTAGGCTGTCTCTGATGGTGACCATCTGTCCGACTTCAATGTTTGGTTGGTCGCGTGTCCACTTTCTTCTTTCTTGTAATGTATGTAAATATTCCGTCGACCAACGACGCCAGAAGTGCTGGTGACAGTGGTCCAACAGCTTCCAACGGTCCGTGAGCGGACGTTCCGGACACTCAGTAGTACGCGGCGGGAGCGCTAACAGCGGCTGGCCTATCAAAAAATGGCCGGGCGTTAGACAGTCGAGGTCGTGAGGGTCGGTCGATGCTGGAGTGAGGGGGCGTGAGTTCAGCACGGCTTCAACTCGACACAATACGGTTGTAAATTCTTCGTACGTGAACGCGTGCGCACCCATGATTCGTACGAGCAGTCGTTTACACGAGCGTACTGCTGCCTCCCACAACCCACCAAAATGTGGTGCACTGGGGGGATTAAACTTCCAGTCGCAGTAGGACTTCCCCGACGTAATAATAGATTGTGCTGCGGGGTTATTAATCAGCTGACGCAATTGTCTGTCAGCACCAACAAAATTTGTTCCACAGTCGGAATAGACCGTCGTAGGCAGGCCGCGCCGAGCGACGAACCGGTCGAAGGCGGCGAGGAAGGCCGGAGTGGACAAATCTGATACTAATTCCAAATGGACGGCCTTGACGCTCATACACACGAATACGGCTATATACGCTTTGTACGTCCTAGATTTTCGTAATTTATTGTCACGCATAGGTATAGGCCCGGCGTAGTCAACACCGACGCAAGAAAACGGACGACATTGCAACACCCGCGACTCTGGTAGATCCGCCATGACCGGCGTGGGGACGGACGCACGGAGACGCACGCACCGGGTGCATTGACTAATGACATTATGGATAACGGAGCGCAGCGACACAATCCAATATTGCCGATGTATCAAGGAGGTCATTACCCGTGGTCCCGAGTGACCAGTGATTTTGTGCCAGTGACGACATACCAGCAGCGCGAGGTACGACCCTTTTGCCAACAAAATCGGATGTCGACAATCGTACGGCAACTCTGAATGACGTAAGCGTCCACCGACGCGGATTATACCTTCGGAATCGACAAAGGGGCACAGCCGTGCCAACGGCTTGGATGCTAAACGGTGTAAATTTTGCAGGTCGCTGACTAATGTCGGAAATGTGACACGTTGAGACGCAGCGATTACCGCGCGAGTTGCACCGTCGAGCTCGGCTCGAGTAAGCGCATTCGATCTCACGACTGGACGTCGGCGACAAATATCGATAAACCGGCGAACACACGCGACCACACGGATGAGTGCGTCGTAGGACGAGAAACGCGTGAACCATTCAACCGTGGGGGCAGCTAAACAAACTGCAGGTGACACAGATCTAACTTCGGGCAGTTCCGCAACCGGCAAACGCGCGATGTCACTCCCCCATTCCTGCGGAGGGTCACGGAGAAAGGCGGGACCCTGCCAATATAACTGATGGTGCGGCAACTCAGACGGCATCAACCCACGGGACGCACAGTCCGCCGGGTTCATCTCCGAACTGACGTGGCGCCATTGACAACTCGGCAACAACGTCCGTACCTGGTGAACACGGTTTGATACATATTGCTTGAATGTGTCATGGGGCACAGTTAACCATGACAATACAATCGACGAATCCGTCCAGGCCCACATGTCAACGATATCGATGTGCGTATTTAATAATAAAGATATTCGGCTCATCCAGCGCGACAATAACACTGCGGCATTCAGCTCGAGCCTCGGAATCGATAACGGTTTAAGCGGCGCTAGCTTGGTCTTGGAACCGACCAACATAACCGGCGTCGCGCGAGGGGCATCATGGATGCGCAAAAACACTACCGCGGCATAGCCGCGTTGCGACGCGTCGCAAAATCCATACAACGAACACGGAGCTCTAGCGGTTGTATTGAAATAACGCGGAACATGCACGGAGGCTAGCGCGGGCAATTCGTCGACGAACCGCGACCAATCTGAGTGAATCTCGGTAGGCAACCGTTGATCCCACGTACAATTGGACTGCCAGGTGCGTTGCATAATGTGCTTGGCAAGGAAAATTGTCGGCGCGAATAAACCTAACGGATCGAAGAAACGTGCGGTAAGTGACAATATACCACGTTTGGTAAATACCGTGGCTGAGTCGAGGTGAGCTTCGCATCCGAAATAATCGCCACCGGTATGCCAAGACAATCCTAGTACCTTCGTGTCACCACCCTCATCACCGGCAAACGTTGTAGATTTAATCACCCGGAATTCTTCCGGAACAGCATGCACGACCGCGGCGGTATTGCTCGCCCATTTTCGCAGTTCAAAACCCGCGCCGTTAAGGACAGCCGTTAACTCTACTTGAATACTGAGCGCGTCGTCCACAGTGTCAGCGCCGTAACAAATGTCGTCCACATACGTCTGGTGACGCAACGCGTCGCATACGCGGGCGGAACCGTGGCAGTCGACCTCAGCGACCTCTTGCAAAACTCGTAGCGCCAGAAACGGCGCACAATTGACGCCATACGTCACGGTATTTAGCTCGTATTCGACGAGCTCCAGGTGCGGGGACGATCGCCATAGAATATGCTGATACGCACGGTATTGTGGAAGGACCGTAATTTGTCGGTACATTTTACAAATATCGGTGGTAAATGCGTGACGGAACAAACGAAACCGTGTGAGCACATCTACGATGTCCTGTTGTAGCTTTGGACCCGGAAATAACGATGTGTTTAATGACGAGCCATCAGCGACCGAAGCGGACGCGTCGAACACTACGCGGAATTTTTCATCGGCGCCACACACGGCATGATGCGGAATAAAATACCGGCCAGGAGTGGACGCCACTGACATGTGTCCGAGTGACAAATATTCCGACATAAAATCGTTATACTTGGTGCGCATTCGATCGTTCGAGCTTAGCTTCCGCTCGAGATGATCGAACCGTTTGGCTGCGACCGCTCGAGACCCAGGAAATAGATTATCATGCAACGGCACACGAAACGGCAATGGAACCGAAAAACGGCCGGACTCGTCACGGACAACATTATCACGGAATACGGCTTCGCATTTGCCGGCGTCGGTAAACTTCAACGGGGCTACGTCGGGCTCTTCGATGTGCCAAAACCGGTCGATTAATTGCTCCACGGACGTGAGTAGAGACACGGCTGGTGGTTGCGGGATCGATATATCAGATGGCGACACTGACCCAATAAGGATCCACCCGAAACATGAGCTGAAAGCGGCCGGCAACGACTTATCCACAACAACCTGACGCCCGTCAACAATGGATGAAAACAGGTCTGCGCCTAATAATAGATCAACCGGCGCGGCGATATGGAAATCCGGGTCCGCCAACGCCAAGTGCGAAAACTTATCCCGTACAGACGGTTCCA